TTGACCTCCCAATTTACCTTGTGTGTTGTGTGTTGTGTGTTGTGGTGTTGTGTGTTGTGTGTTGTGTGTTGTGGTGTTGTGTGTTGTGGTCTGTTACTGGTGCTTTTGAACTATAACCTCACACAATTGTTCCCCTGATGACTCCATCTGTGCTCTCTTAGATGTCTGAGCATTGTGACCAGTGACCTTTGTTTTGAAAAACTAAAATCAGTGATTGAAAGGAGCAACTCTTGTTTGTTTTAAAATTTTGAATACTGGTAATTTAGCCAAAACTTTCAAGTCTGTCTTAAGCAATCCATTGTGACTAAAAAGGCATGAGTCTAAAGTACCACTGATAGTGACTTATCTTTTTACCTCCTCAAAAATATTTTGAATTTTTCTTCATAACAAAGGTGTTTTTTTTTTTCATCACCAAGAATACCTTAGATTTTCATCACCCAAGTTCTCAATGGCCTACAACCTTTCTTTTGTGATCATTGACCTCTGAGCTATTATGCATGCTTTTCTTCAGTTTCTTATTTTCTCAATTTAAATCTATCATTACTTGGACTTCATTGCTTTTATTTCAGCCCAAAGATCGTGCTAAACTCCAAAAGGAAGCTTCCCCCAACTTTGAGCGACAAAACTCTGTAACATCAGATGGATCTACAGAGGTAAAAAAAGTCATTCCTGATATTTAGACAAGAATATATGAGGTCTTACTTCCGTAAAAATGGTTGATCTTGTTTCTTCTATTCTGGGTCAGGGAGATGGAGAACAAGAAAATAAGGCTTTGAACAACTCTTTGCCTCCATGGACAAGTCCAAAAACTCCACAGAAACAAAGTGCACCAGGCAAGAAAACATCAAAACAGTCATCGGTAAGTCTTAGGGTTAACAGTTAGACTTAACTTAAAGATTTCACTTTGACACATACTGTAGTTAACCACGGATAGGGGGCACCTGTGCCTAGACCACACCCCAAACTTTTGTTTAATTTTGTGGAAAAAACAATCCGTGAATTTGCAATCAGAAATCGCCTAGCTGCTGCAATGGAACCCATGAACAAAGAAAAGTTGTAACAATTATAAAGCTGGCTGAGAATTTACTGAACAAGAGGCCACATAAGCCTTCACATGCATTTCCCTCTATGATAGGGGTGTTGCTGAACAGAGTAATCCAGTAATGGGTCTAATATGGTATGTCTGTTAGACCAATGAAGATGGCAAAGTTGAGTGGTTATAACATCAGGAGTTGCTACAAAAAACTTGTTTATTTGTTCATGTTTTTCTTAAGAATGGAGGGCAAATCAGCCGAAAGGACCTACAGGGAAACATTTTTCTATGCAACTCAAGACCTCATGCAAAAAATTTCATGCACTTTGGTCTGAATTAGAAAAACAATTAAGTAATCTACCAGTGAATTTTTGACTAACTTCCATTTTCAACTTCCCTCAATTGTAGTAATAATAAAAGCACTTTGTGAATGAGGCTTATGGGATTTTGCATCACTCAAATGTGATTATTTTGAACTCTTTGGAGTAAAAAGATCAACTCTGGGGTGAAAAATCTTTCATTTATTGTGTTGAATAAAAAATTCCTCTGGTTCTTCAACAGAACAAAGGTCAATCACCAAAACCAGTAACTCTTCCAACGAATAATGCTGCCATGACAACAAACAAAGTTTTTGAGGGAATTGGAGATGATGATCTCTGAACTCTGATTGCTTCGAAGGTCATGTGGCTGTGGTTATCACTTGCGTCATAGTTGATAAATTTTGGCTTTTGTATTTAATACCATTGGTAATTCATTTCAGTGGTAATGTGTTGTAAAAATTTAATTTTGGCAGTTGCAAATTGAAAAAAAATTGACACCAAAATTTATAATTTGATTCTTCGTCATGCAGTATGTAGGTGCAACCAGTGATGCTGAAATTTGGTGTGAGGAAAGGCAGTGAGTATGCATCAGGTATGCAAAACAACTTCTTTGATGTGTTTTGTACTAATGCTGCCCAGAAACTAAAGGAAAAATGAAAAAGCTGCTTAGATTAGCAACTCAAAGGTTTTCTGAAAGACTATTATAATACCATACAAGATAATGTTATTGCATGCATCTTGACCATTAGCAACTAATTATTGTTTAATAGCTTTTAAAATTATCACTTGTCAAATGACTTAATTATCACATTTCAGTGAACAGAAATCTGAAGATTTGTCTTATAAAGAAAAAAACTTACAATGATTTTGCATCAAAATGATAACATGATTGTGTCAATAATTATTATTAAATTAATAATAAAACAATAGGGTGTATATTTTTGCAGGCATAACTATGTTTTGGGCCCGACTCAGAGTCATTTTAGCTGCTCTGGTTAAAAAGACTCTGAGAGGGTCCAAAACCTCTTTATGCCCAAGAACAGAAACTGTCTAACTATGATTTACCATTTGGAGGGCTTTGGGAACATAAAAACGGAAGAAAATTACAAATTAAAATAACGTGATAAATCACAAAACCATGCTAGCAGGCTAAAACACATTTTTATCCCTCCCAAAAAAAGTGAAAATAACAATTATCAATTTAGATTTGTTTTAACCATTTATCTGTTAACACATTTTAGTTACATTGGTTTTTACAGTAGATATAAATTGATTATTGTAGCATGTTAGAGATGACAACTGATGTTTGTTTGATAAAAAAAAAAAACAGTGAAGTTAGCTAATTTCAAGATTCTGTACTTTGGATGTTGGACAAATTTTATACGAGAAGGTTGAAATTATATATACAGCATTATGATTATAATTATTAGAGTGTGGGGTTTTCAGACGATGTACTAATTCAAAATGTTTTGCACCAAACAAATTTATACATGTATGAAGCAAGTATGAAATATTAGACCTGCATAACAAGTCAGCAGTTGAGGAGATTGTTGCAATTCTCATGTATGACTGGCTGGACCAGTCAGCTACTTGCACAACTTGTTCTGGTAACTTGTATTACAGGAAAAGAGACCCAAAACCACATAGCATGGCAATCTTTTAAAGGGTGAATGGCACCTTTAAAAATCGCGACTTATTCCAGGGCTAAACACTAATAGCAGCCCACTAGCCACAGGCTGGTAGAAATTCAGTTTTCTTTTGGCTAGGGGTTTTCAGTTTCCACTAGCCAGTTTGGTTAGTAAACAAACTGAAATTGTCCTAACATCTAAGATGCCACTAGCCACTTGGCTAGTAAGTTGAAAAGTTGCTGTTGAGCCCTGAATTGACCATTGGTTGTAGTTTTGCATTTATGTACATGCAAGCTAGGTGGGCTCTAGTTTTCAAGATCAAAGCAAAACAAGAACAATCATGTCTTTCTTTCAACAATCAATTGAAAATTGCTTTATACCCAAAGGAAGGTTCTTAGTTCATACTTTGGTGGTGTGCCTACAGGTATTAACCCTTTAGCTCCCGGAAGTGATTAACGTATAAATTCTCCCTATAATATCCATACATTATCCAGCAAACGGGTAATGAGAATACTCAAACTTATCAGGTAGTTGTTATCTTGATCATACAACAAAATCTCATAACTGATTTAAGCAGCCAGAAATGAGAATTTACAATCAGATCTGGGGAGTTAATGGGCTAAGAAACTGTTTTCATGCTGTACAATTTTGTGTTGTCATAACAGTTTAAATGTTTTAAAATTCTGTGAAATTCCATTTAGTCTCCACTTTGAAAATTACAAAACAGTCATTACATTCCAGGGAACTCATAAGCAGTCTTATTGGCAGTTTGGGGATTCAGAGCAAACTGCAACAGCAAGCTAGTGCATCCTAAAAATTTGACTAAACTTCATTGGGAATTCCTTATTTATTTTTTCCAGATTCTAATCATCGATGTGGGTTCCAGAATCTGTAATCATTGATGTTATATTCATTTATCTCTTAAATTTCGGTTTAGAAACTTACATTGCTGAAAATTTGGATGGATGCACCAAAATTTTTTCAGATTATGTTGCTTGACAATCAAAGGCAAAAGAAGCACAATTTAGTTTTCTTTTAACTTGAATTGAGTAGCTTTGTGTTTGGTGTGGCTATGGTACCTTGGACTCCTTGATGTTTTGACTGCAAAGAGTGCGGTGTTGATCAAGATTACCAATTAAAGAACAGTTCACTTGAAATGCAATTTTAAGGAGTTTATATTAAAAGTGCAAGACATGTAATTGTCTATTTTTATACATGACAATTTTAAATGTTTTCCATGATTAGTTGTAACCTTCTCAAGTAAGGGAAAAAATTAAAAAATTATTATGCTAATTTTTTTTGTGAGCACTTCTTGACTGCAAATATCTGTATGAAGATCAAGTATTGTCTTGATATAGATTGTTTCTCTTACCAAGTGACTGAAAAAAATAGTTACTGGTATCTCACCTTCCCTATACTTTCTAGTGCAGAAAAAATGGCTCAAATGTGTTCCCCTCCCTTCTCCAGAGAAAGATTGCTTGTGGTAAACTAGAGTTTTGCCTTAGTGAAACTTTTTCTTTTCCTTTCCTTTCGGAATGTAAGACAAATTGTACAATGGTTGGGAACCTCCCTGTGTCTCCTAATCTAAGGACAGTTGAACCTCTGTAACTCCCAGATATAACTTCTCTATAATTTCCATACATTAACTGGCAAACAGGTAATGAGAATACTCAGACTTGTCAGGTAGAATTTAATACCTTGACCTGATAGCAAATTACTTTTATTAATTTAGAAGGAAATGTGGAGCAGCTGGTGCAGAGAAATAACAATCAGAGCTTGGGGAGTTAAAGAGTTAACCCTGATGGACTGGCAGTGTTACCACTCCCCCCCCCCCTTATTATTACCACTGGCAGTATTACCACTCCCCCCTTATTATTACCACTGGCAGCATTACCACTCCCCCCTGGATGGGATCACCCAGGGAGGAGTAGCAATACTGATGGTTGCTTCATGCTGGGGAAACTGGGAAATGCTCCCACTGGATGGGCTACTAAGCATTACAGCAGACTTTCAATTGACCTGAAATACCAACTTGTAGATTCATCATTGACAATGGCTTCAAGCTGTTAGTCAAAGCAGACCCTTTGGCTAAAATGTCGCCCCATTCAAAGAGTTCTAAAGGTATATTCCTGATTTGTTACAGTAGGCTTTTGACCTGTTTCATTGTTACTGTCACCAGGAGGTAATTATCATGTAGAATGATTGATTGCAGCTTGAACAAAACTGAAACTTTGACTTAACTTCACGATTTGCTTGTCATTCAAATACTGGTAATAAGATAATCAGTGCAGGTAAACTGCTATTCTTAAAAATCACAGAAAAGGAAGCCTTAAACTTCAGGCTTTGACAGGATTTGGTTGATCATGGGAACCAAGTTTCTAACAATCCAGCCCTGAAACCTAGCAAATTTAACTCTACACGGTCTAGGATACAAATGAGTCTGATTGATCACACAACTGGATTACTGTAACAACACTGAACAACTAGCATTGCGCAAAGCTGACCAAACATTAAATTATTTTATTAGTGAACAACTGCCTAATATTGATGAGAAAAACCACTTGTGATAAAAAGTTAAGACCGTGGTAACTCTTGTACCCTTTTAAGAAATCTAGGCTCTCTTCTTGGACTCAAGTTGTGCACATTACAACTGAAGCTGAAAATGCACTACACACAAAAATTTCCAACAAATATCAGTTCTGTTCAACACATCCACAAATTTAGAGCTCATCTTTTTTATCCCCTTCATCCTCATCTAGATCTACATCTGATAAATCAATGTCTTCTTCTTCAGGAAGTTCCCCATCTTTGCCATCCCAGGGTATTCTTTCCTCTACAGTAGGAAGCCCTGCACCCTTAATGGGTGCCGTTGCACCACGACCAACTGAAACAGCCCTAAGAAACTCGTCAATACCGATGTTATCAAAAGGACCTCTCAGTGTAGCATATTTCATTTTGCGAGCATTAACTGCTACCATAGCTGGGTACCCGAAGCCTCCCAAGCCAATAGCATCCTCTAGCTTTTCCTGTGCCCCAGCCTCCGTCCAGATCCAACCCCACAGCTTCTTCTTGTACTTCTCGCCCATCTACTTCAAGATGTCCAGATACTTGTTCCTTCCAGAAGCTCCAGAATCCAGAATGTGCGGCAGAACAGAAATAACACAGATGGGTTTCTCCTCACAGTTAGTTTTCATAACCTCACTGTTGACAATCTCCAGCACCTCTGGTGGCTCAACAGATTCAGCAAGCCTATCCAGTGCAAACTGTACAATGTCCGAAGCTGTCCTTCCTCCTTCATAGGTTTCCGCACTGCTGGAATCTTTGGCACCTGCAGCAAAGACCTTAATAGTTGGGTAACCTTGAATTTGGTACCTCCCAGCAGTGACAGTATGAGCTGTGGCATCAAGAGCGCACACTTTCACTTTGCCTTTCAGCTCCGTTGCTGCCTTTGCCCATTCAGGAGCAAGTCTTTGACAGTGACCACACCTAGAATAAAACCACGATCTAATCACTAATTCTGCCTTCAAATATCTACGTATATCTTTGTTGAAAAGAATTTCAAATAACGTCAAGAAACTACCCTTCTAATTACTTACCAAGGTGCAAAGAATTCAACAAGAACAAGGTCTTTGCTGTTGAGAACTTCTTTCTCAAAGTTGGCATCAGTCAGTTCAACTACATCCTCCTTGTTACCCTGCAAAATGATTTCATAAAGATTTACTTTTTTAATCTATTAAAAAACTGCACAGTCAGATAACTAGTACCATAAATCTTCTATTAAGCCCCCCTCTAATAAGCCACCCCCTCTAATAAGCCACCCCCTCTCTAATAAGCTACCCCCTCTAATAAGCCATCCTCTCTAATTAGCCACGCCCCTCTAATAAGCCACCCCCCTCTACTAAGCTACCCCCTCTAATAAGCTACCCCCTCTAATAAGCCACCCCCTCTNTAATTAGCCACCCCCCTCTAATAAGCCATCCCACTCTAATTAGCCACCCCCCTCTAATAAGCCATCCCACTCTAATTAGCCACCCCCCTCTAATAAGCCATCCCACTCTAATTAGCCACCCCCCTCTAATAAGCCATCCCACTCTAATTAGCCACCCCCCTCTAATAAGCCATCCCACTCTAATTAGCCACCCCCCTCTAATAAGCCATCCCACTCTAATTAGCCACCCCCCTCTAATGAGCCACTCCCCTCTTTAGAGGAACAAATTTCTAAAGCCTCCCCACCCCTTCCTCCAAAAAAACAAATTCAAAATAACACTCCATGTCAGTAAGTACAATGGATTTATTTAACTACTTTAATTTTAGTTTGTCATTAATAATTGATGGTGATTGATTACTGAATAAGGAAATTACAGAGTGATCCTTAAAATATAACATGGCTAAACAAGGTCCATTGAGAGAGTTAGATCATAACATTGAGTTGATCAGGAAGAAATGGAAAATTCATCTAAAAGGATTTCAGAAGAAGACGTGGCACATCTAGTTTTGGATGAAGATGATGAAACGATTGATGTTGAACTGTAATCGAGCTTTACTAGTACAATGAAGCATTTCATTATTGTTGTTCATTTGACTTTTTAAATAAATAGAGTACATAATATGCTATTGTATCCTGGTAGTGAACACTGGGATAAATTAGTGAGCCCCCCTCTATTAAGCCTCCCCTCTAATAAGCCATACCCCCCTCCCAAAAGTACCTGAAATAAATAAGCCCCCTGTGGTGCTTATTAGAGGATTTACAGTAAGTACATGGCATATTGGACACACTCTCTGCAAGACAGACTTCTTTAACTCTTTACACCAAAAGATAAGGATCAGGATCTCAATCAATTCTCCATACCTTATCTGTGCATTTCCTTTGGTACTGACAAGGATAATACATTTAACGATCAAAGCTTCTCAGGCATGTGACTAGCATCTAATTTCTCCTTACACTATAAACTTTGAATCACACATTGAGGTCACAACAATACAAGAAATGATCAACAACAGACAAACAAAGCTCTTGATTGTTAGATAAATTCTCCTTGTCAGCACCTAAAGAACAGCATAGAGAACAGTATGGAGAAAAAGCATACTGATATTAGGGTGTAAGGGTTAATAAAATACCTGTTTTCCTCCCCCTCCTCCTCCTCTTCCAGAGCCAGATTTCCCACCTCCAGAAAGTCGCTGATTCACCATGGATTTAGCAGCACTGAGACCAGAATCAATAATACCCTGAGCTGTTCTAGCACCTTAAGAAAGAAGTCATATGGGTTAGAGTCACAAACTAAACAAACAGTTGTTAGTCAATCATGAGAAAACAAGAATTAACAAATAATCATAATTTTAAACAAACCATTATAATCACTTGGAGAGTTCTTGTTGGCACCAAAAACCTGAAAAAATAAAGAACATCAAAAAAGAATATTTCAATTTCAAGGCAAACATAGCCATACTCAGTCAACTCATGCATCTGATGCGCAAGGTTTTTAAGACAAAATTTAAATTCCACCAAACTCAAATGATAGCTTTGGGTAGGACGAGCCTCGAGGCTTAAGTTAATCTTACCGCAACCTTACAAGTATGTGGTTGGTAGAATTGCTTTAAGTTACAAACCTTTATTGTAGGAAATCCCCGGATACCATATTGTCCTCCTAACTGTTGATTTTGTTGGTCATCCATATCTACAGCTCCAACTTTGACAACACCCTAACAGCAGAATAAAACAATATATTGTAAATGCAAATGACAAAATCTGAGTTGCCAAGAAACCTTTTTGGAAATAAGACCAAGATTAAAGCTACATGGCCAACGACTACATTGGGTAGAATGTAGAAAATTCAACATGATCAAGGATCTTGGTAAGTTTCTATGGAGTTTCAAGGACATAAATCCTGAAGTGGTTTAAATGAGGACCTTCCAGGGGCTCCAAGTATTCCAAAAGCCCTCAGACCCCAGCTGGACAGCTTACACACACCTTCAGGGCTGACGCCACTTTAATCCACTCTGGAGCTAATGCTTTACAGTGGCCACACCTAAATGAGGGCAATGTCATTCAGTTACCAATTGAAAAGCTCAATCAGTAATGTTATATCCCAGATTCCCCCCTTCCCCACTCCCCCCCTCTGGATGGCAACCATGGAGACAAGGCCTGTAAGGAAGTTTATCCAAAGTAGCAATAAAAATTTCAAAAGGTACTGATGAGAAAAAGGGAGGGGGATGTCAGAAATTGAACTTTCATTAGGGGGGAGTCGAAGGTTTGGATCAAAAATGGAAAATCTCAGTTAGAATTGGCAGAGCAATAAATTACTGAAAAGAGGCTATGCGGACACTTGGTAATATAATGATGGTTGTACTACTTTGGAACAATAAGTTATATTTTGTCACAAGATGAAATATTTTTTTAAACTTTTAAACTAAAAGCAAAAAAATCAACTTAAACCACACTACATATTAATTATAATTAAGTTCTTGAATTAACACTTAAACAGTTGAAGTAACGATCATAAAAAAATTCCCGTTTCTCTGTCCCAGGATGTTCAAATAAATACCATCACAACTAGCCTAAGATTTGCCTATTTCAAAATGCTATGTTTGGAAAGTATTAACGTTTTACAAGGTCTACAAAATCACATGGATTCCTTGAGATTAAAATGAATTATGAATATCTACACTCAGTTAAGTGAAAGTGTTCCTTACTACATCCTAATTCTAGCTGAGGCGTGGAAAATAAATACTTCACACTTACCAAGGAGCAAAGAATTCTATAAGCCATACACTATCACTGTCCATAACCTGCGATCTAAAATTATTTGCTGTAAGTTGAACCACGTCAGTTTGCGGACCATAGAGACCTCTTGCAAGCGACACGAAACACAAGAGAAACACACCTGAAAAACATGACAAAATATTGTCAGCAAGACAAAAAAGAGCTTATATGCGTAGATTTTAAGACCTCTACTTACGGTATAGAAGCTCCATGTTTGGAGAATCGAAATATTTTGCGAAAAAAATCGCTCAGGCTTGTGGCCACAACAAACCTCTTGTCTGACGTGGGAAATGTGAAAGAAGCTTCCTGACCTTCAAAGGGGCCGGTCTCTCGTGTCTTGCTCTGATTGGTTGGTTCTTGGTATAAATTCATATGAATCACCGCTGAGTATCTCACCGTGGGCTCATAAATAAAAACTGTTCTATTTCCTTTGTCATATAGGGAACTTTTGGCATATGATTTTTCGTTATATAAACAAAAGCAGATCTTGCTCAGTGTTTACAAAGAAAGAACACGACAAAGGTAAGAGACTGGATTTGTTATGAAAAGGTTTGTGGGAAAATGTGGAGATGGAGATAATTTTATAGTGTTTTTTACCTTAAAAAAAATATTTTAATGTCTTTTTGAAAGCAAAATAAGGTATTTCATCAGTTTATTTTTGTTTTTTTTCAATACTGTATCATCAGTAACAACCAGTTGGGAACTAAAGCATGTAAATGATATGATATTTATGGTTGACTGAATAATTATAAACTGGTATTTACTATGCTCAGTCATGCAGTGAAGAATATATAAAGTTTAGAAAAAAATGGATTTTATCTTTAGTAATTGGTATCAAATTCCTAAATACTTAATGTTGAAGGTGTCTCAGCCTAGAAAGCATAACATTTCATGAAAATAACCCCTCCTTTAAATTTAAGGAGAGGATGAATGTTGAGACCTGGCAGAGCTTTTCCAAACTAAATCTGTGGAAAACACATCAGGAGAAATAATTTCTCTTGTACCTGGCACAATGCATTAGTGAATTTTGTTTCTTACTGAGATTTTAATGAAGCTTAGGATTCTGAAACTCAAAAACTTAAAAGTAATATGTTTCTTGTAGTATGAAAAGGTCACCATTATTTGTGTTAGACTTTTTTTTACACTGCCATTTCAAATCAAAGGCATTTTCTTCATTCTAGTTGTAATCATGAGACCAAATGTGAATTTAGAACTGGCAACTTGACTTACTCTTTATAACGTAATTCTTAACTTGGATACAAACAGACAAACCTTCATGAAGGCTGTTCTCAGATTTTTGATGGTTACCTTCCATTAATATTTATAACAAGACAGTCAAATTATGTTCGGAATAGGAAAAACATTGTTTATACACTTGATTTTTTCCATTTATCTCCTTTCCACTGCATCTGCAAAGCAAAGCTTATAATGAAATGTATTTCAATTCAGAAATGAGAAGGATCACGCATTTTTGCAAAGTAACCTGATTGTGGGTGTGGTCCTTTTAGAGGATTTTCAACACAAAAGAGGAACTTTGAAAAACAGTTAAATGCATCTTTTTCAGAAAGTGCTTGCAAGTAATATTTAAAATGAGGAAGTATGATATTTTTTACATTATCTTTACACCTGAAATGCAGTTATTTCTCACTCAAAATTACAAAAACTATTAACTTACTAGGTAAATTGTGCATAACCCAAAATGTAGTTGTTGCACACAATATGACACCCTCTCTTTGCAGCATACATAGAATAATTCATTCTTTTATTTATCTTTTTCCAAGTGTTATTTAGTCATTTAAAGTTTGCTGCACTTTGTCATTTTCATAACAATTAGAGAGTGTGTTTCTGAAAATTTTCACAATTTAAGGGCAAAGTCACGCATTGCTTTTTATTTATTATTAGGTCACCCAAACATATTTCTATTTGAATAACACAAAAGAAGGCAAAAATTGGCGCCATTAAGGAATTATTATCAAGAAAATCACATCTATTATTTTTGTTCCAAAATGGCCGCAGAATGAAAGGAGCAATATGTGTTGTCATGTACCAGCACCTTGGTTAAATGAACCTACTGCTCGCAAGGTGTTATGGTTGTACTTATAATCCTCGTGGATATTTGAGTCATGTTGTTTCCTATTGATTCACGAAAGAAAGCGTTTTTTGTTACATTGACCTACGGTGTTGTCTTCGGAGAGAGTAGTTTTTTTACTTTCAGGGTTACGGATTGCATTCCTTCTTGTGTGCGTGGGGTTCGAGCAATGACTCGCCTGGTGTAGGGCAAATGGTTTAGCGTTATACGAATCGTCAACAGTGAAGGTCATTATGTCGACTAAAACCTCTCCCACTTCGACGAAAAATAAAATTAATTTCCAAGTCGGTGCCCGGCTCGAAGCAATGGATTACACGTTAAGTTGGTGAGTTGTATTGTTTCTAGCACGAAGAGTTTCCCTTGTCTCTGACTCGTGATTTTGGTGGGAATGTTAGTAAAAAAAACTGCGCGCGTAACTCAAATTTTGTTTGCTTGCATGCTTGGCTGATTTCAGCCTGTTGTTCTCAGAAATTTTCGTTATAAACCGATTTATGGCGGTGACATTCCAAAATTTGGCCGTGAGACACCAACTATTTTCCTCTTCTTTATCTCTGCTATGTTACGTATATAGTTTCACAAAGTGCCTTTCGGGGCAAGATTGGAAAAATGTCGATTTGAAGTTTGTATTAATTTTGTGCCGATAATGATGTCACCGCATCAAGTTAAAAATATTGCAATTTTTTATTATTTTTTTTTATTTGAAGTGATCTAAATTGAAGTTTTACTAGTATGCTCCATTGTACTTTTGTAGAAATTGATATGAACTATAATCTTGAACGACTGTGATATTCAGCTTTTCAAATTACACATAGACCTACCTACGTACGTAAGGTATATATTCTTCAGGTACAAAACTACTTTTAATGTGATTCTTTATATTTATTCAGTATTCTTTAATATTGTCACTTCTTACACTGGCAAATATGTATAACAAGAGGCTGAATTCGAGCAAAAATAACAAACCCTGGTGAATTTTAAAACCTGAACACAGATGGACAAGTTCATTCCCTTCATTGGTTGGAAATTGAAATAATTACTCTCTATTTTCACGGAGTAGTTTACATGTGCTCTCTGTGAACAAATAAAACATCTGTGTTTATAAACAAATACATAAAGAAGCTGAAATGGAACTGCTTTAGGCTGGCAAAAACCACTTCTCATTGGCTTAATGATATTCTCAGCAGCACAAACTAAGAGCTTTTGCAATTGCTTGAAAGCCTTTGCACATCATGGTATCTAAGAGAGTTTTTCAAAAACTCATCCAAAGCTGGTTACAAAGTTCAACTTAATACATCTTATTTGTGCTGAGAAAAACTGGGCCAAGTGTAAGCCATAGCATTTACAGTATTGCAGTGAATGGTTTGACTCAAGGTTGACTCTGATGATGACTTCCACACAGGTTGTTGAATCATCAGTCACCACCACCGACAACAGTCCTAATCTCAGGACTACACTCTCCCGGACGATCACACTACACTTTCACATTTGGAGTATTGTTGAAGTAGATGATGTGATATTTTTATACAGATTGTTACTATGTTGAAACTGCCCCCTGTTATAGTGAATTTTTTTTAAGTTAAATAACTTTTTGCCTCTGGAAAGCATAACCACTGATCAAAATTGTGAGCCAGTATGGTGAGCAACCCATTTTGACTAACATATTCTTTCTTCTTGGGAAGATCAGATTCTTTTATGAGAAAATGCTCTAATCATGATTATTAGGGGTGAGATAAACAAATAGAATGGTTAAATGCATAGGTAGCTATCTCTTTGTATAGAGATTGATACATTGGCTTGTGTAGAAATGGAATTTATCTTTTAAGTGTTCAACTCATTATCTCACAAGTGAGCATAGAGAACAAGTGATATATAGAGTTAAATACTAGAGGAGAAATTCAATATCTACAAGGAATCATGTATTATTATTGTTTAACATAAAAACACCATGGAACATAATCCTGGAAAATTTTGACAAACCACTCTGGATTTAAAATGGTTAAGGCTCTGCAAAGCTGTGGTCTAGCAGCGCTCGGTGGCCCCTGGCACCTTACTTTTGTTCTTGGGCGACTCAGGAATTTTAGTTTTTTCACAAAAAGCATATGCTAGGCACCCTGGATTTCACAGTTTCAGAGCACTGGGCTCCATTCAATTTTCCTTAGAGCAGAGCCTTGCTTTGCTATTGTTTCATTAACCTGACTGACGATCACAGCCAATTAGTGATATCATTTCACTTAAAAAGTATCATAATTTTACTCATGAATGCAGTTACAGCTTTTCTCAGTGGTGGAAATCCTTATAAAATGATAATTATTTAGGAATTTTCATTTCCGGAATATTTTTTCTGCCATTACTCAGTTTTTTGGCTGGCTTTGTACAAAAAAATGCCTCGGGTTCTTTTTTTAAAGCAAAACATTGATGACAAAGTTTTTGCTTGTAAGTTAATTGTATTTCACCTTTTTCATAATCTTTCAGGTATACTGCTAAAATATGCCGTGTTGATGATAAAGAAAAAAAGGTATTGATTCACTTTGAGGGCTGGAATCATCGTTATGATGAGTGGATTGCATTTGACAGCGAACGATTGAGACCACACGGACGACAGCACCTGTTTCAGGACTCTAAAGAAGAAAAGGTTTGACATGCCTGGCTTATTTTGTTCAACTAAGCTCAGAAAGGAAATAGGTACATTGTGCTAGTTTAGTAAATTATCGGGTATTTTTTATTAATTCTTGAGTAAGACTAACACAATATAACATTAAATCTGTTCTCTTTGTAGACCAGTATAATTATGCCACGAAATCTTTTTTAAATCATAAGAGTGGATTTTGCTTAAATTTTCCTGTCTTAAAATACAGAGGCATGAAATAGAGAAGAGTACAAGATAATGATAGGCAGAAATTGTGGTATCAAAAGTTGTCAGAACATTTGATTTTGGTGGATACCTTGCCTTTGTGACATCATTGTTGATGCATGAATCAAAATGTAACTGTGTGAACATACATGCCTATGTTACCGAAAAATCTTTTTTTTTGACTAACATGCTTTTTGCGTTACTTTTAATTTTCCATCACTGGTCCTGATTTCTATCCCCAATTACACATGCTACCCATGAAGGAAAAAAAAAACAGCTCTGAAAGATTTACTCACTACATTATCTCATTAGTAAATTCACTCTGACCTTCAGCTTCTCTCTGTGCATGCAATTTTCCTTTTTGGGGCATTTCTTTTCAAAATTTTGATTTTATATATCGACTGTACATCTACTGTACAAAGAGCTAAGGTGGAAGAACAGGTGCTGAACTTTGTTTTCGCTGTACCATGTAGTTTTTTTGTTTTTAGTTATGCTCCATGGTCTTCTTTCCTATTTTCAAAATGTGTTAGGAAAAAATCGTAATCTTTATTATCTGGAATCCATTTGGAGCTTACTTGAACTGAGCAACATCTAAGTTGTCTTTATGCTTCATCCCTATACTGATTTAATATTATAGTTGTTTCTGTCTTTCACCTGTGCTTAATTTGTGCTAATTGCATTTTGCTGGAAGGGTTGTCCCAGTGAAAGTGATGTAAACAAATTAAAACTCTTTTTTGTCCAAGTGCTCTTTAAAAAAGACAGTCATTGAATTCAGTTATCTCATTGGATGGCATTCTAACTGCAAATCAATTTGATCGCATCATTAGTCAAACAGATGTCACAAGAAATTACATTTAGCATCCAATACGGAGTCTTCCATTTCCAATGAATTTCTATAATGTGATTGTACTGCTTGAAGTTCAATATTAAGTTTTGCCTCTTTTAGGAGTTGTTCCTCCATTAAAGTGATGTGTACCTACTATTTGGTGATCTTTGCTTTCTGCTTCAACAATTCCTGATCTTCAACATAAATTTCTTCTTTAGATAACCCTCTTATAACCCCATTGTTTAAAATCCCATTCATTCATTATGCAGATGTTTTTGTGTTATATTCCCTGTTACATTATTAATAGATTGTGTGTTTTACTTGCAAGTATATGTACACTCCTGGTTAAATCTAAAGTATATTTCTCTTGCTTTCTTTGTGCTGTGGCCCTCTTCATTTGTGCCTTGCGATGAACAGGAAGTTTGCGACTATCAGGTTAATAAGATGAGTCCATTTTGCTATTTTTATCTTGTAAAAATACCACCTTATGTCATAATGTAAAATAATGATTTTTAAACTAAACCATGTTGTTCATGTATGTAGATCAAGATTGAATTTTTCTTTGAACATTTAACAGCTAGTTGTTCTTACAATTATGAGATTGTCTGAAATAGCTTTGGAACCGATGAAGTTCATCCAGCAACAATGTTTGCAGAATTGTGTCTTAATGTCCACAAGTTAACTTCAGTTTCTCCGTGATTTAAACCAAAAAGCAAATGTAGTTTTCAGTCCTCACTTTGTTTATTTAATTCATCTGATGAATGTGTAGTTTCATGTGATACTTATCCAAGGTTTCAAACAACTTTTCATTTTTGACAGCACAACTCTTTTTATTTCCACGCTGTTATTACATCTGTTGTTCTTATTTGTGACCCTGTTCAATAACTGCTACAGCATTGACAACTTTCATTTCTCATTTAATATTTTCAAAACCATCTCTATCACTCCACGGAGTGTTTTTGCATCTTTTGATGAAGCAAAGCCCACATCACATTGGTTGCTTCTAGGTAAAATTATTTCCAGTTGTATGAAGAAGGCAGAAATATCAGAAAAACTGAAATTAATTTTTCATTGCACTCTTCTAGAATGACATACCTTTTCTTGAGTCATGTTTTATGCTCCATTGTAAACTATTTCCTTGTGCCCCATTCAAGGAACACTTATTGCATGATTGTCAAACTTAAAAAAAAATATATTTTCAGGATCAAAAAGAATTTATTGACAAGCAAATGTAGCTGGAAAACATTCAACTTATGTGCATTGCAAAGTGTGAAACACACAAACTTCCTTTAGTGAGTGTTAATTCAAATTTGATCATTTTTTATCTGGTTTCATGGCATGTGAATAAGGAAAATATCACTTCTTTCTGTGACTTTGCCGTAGTGCTTTGAAGTAGAACAAATGTCTGCATACATTCTCTGGTTTTTAACTTAGTTAATAATATTGCATGGGAAGTTTGTAATTACTTTGATGCAGAGCTCGTTCCTTCTATAGTGATCAGTAACTTAATCTTGTTGTTTTTCTTTTCTATAATATTTAGCTTTTCTTTGCTATACGTGCTTTGTCTTTAATTTTTTTGATGCCAAGAATTCGACATTGTTTTGAAATTCACAGGGAAAAACTCAACTTTAATTTTGATTATTTCTTAACATTGTGACCATGTGATCAATTCATTTCATACATTGTACAACTTGGACTTTAGATGAGTTTCGTATTTCAAATAAACAGTTTTTGGGATAGGACACATGTACCATAGTCTGCATTGTAAGTGTCAGTGTTTTCTAGGTTAACCCTTGCAGGGCTGGACACTAACAGAAGCCTCAGACTTGTAGAAATTCAGTTTTGGCCAGTGGTTTTCGATTTCCACTAGCCAGTTTGGCTAGCAAACTAACTGAAATTGTATTAATTAACATCTAAGTTGTCACTATATAGCCGCTTGGCTAGTAAGAAAAGTTAGTGTCAAGCCCTGCCTTGTCTGGACTGTTCCACAACATCAATACAGTACCAGCCTAAAAGATAGCAACATATCCCCATTTAGATATTATTTGGCCGAAGCATGTAGACACTGCATGTAGACACTGCATGTAGACACTGCATGTAGATGCTGCATGTAGACGCTGCATGTAGATGCTGCATGTAGACGCTGCATGTAGACTGGGTGTATATTACAGTCTGTTGAAACTTTGTTCTGTGGGCAAGTTATCTCTTAGATGGTACATGCGCTGTGTTGGGTCAGTTAATCAGGTCATCTTTCATCATGGAGCTTGCTAATTTAATTATAATTCAAAATTTTGTTTGAACTGAAGTCTTTCCCCCTATATTTGAACCCAGAAATAAAGTAGATATGAAGTAAATATCTTGCCAACCTAGTTTTAGCTGCCTATACTGTAAGTCATGGAACCTCGTTTTTTTTTTTTTTTTGGCTTAGATTATGGCCCCTGCGCAAAATCTAAGCCAAAAAAAACTTGGTCAGTTACTTACAGTACAGACCTTGAACTCAGTTAGTAAGAGGTAGGTAATGTATGCTACAATCCTTCTGGCTTGTATTGCTGGCATGGAGTTTCCCACATTCAGACATTTTTATAAGCTAAAGACCCTCCTTTTGTGCTGATATGGAGTGGGAAAATCAGTGATGATATATAATTTGTGGTTTCTTGGTGTATGCAGGATTGGAAAACTGGTGATCGTGTATTAGCAAAGTGGCAGGATTGCAAGTTCTACCCAGCAAAAATTGCCAAGTGCCTTAGTGAAGGTGAAACATCATTCTGTAAATTAGTAAGGATTTTCAAATTGAATATATGAATCATTAACTGTAACCAGGGGGGTAAATCAATACAGTGAATCTCTCTGACCACGGTTGAACCTTCTCACTCCCAAGATCTTGTTAGCAATTCTCCTTACTTTCTGCCATATAATTATGATGTCAGTCAGGAGAATTTGATATTGAATCAACTAAAGTGTCTTAGTGGATATTTTTCTTTATTTTCAGTACTTGACTGCTTATGTTGCATTGAAACCATGAGGAGAAATTCTGTCTTGATCACTCATGATAGATAAAGGGTTAACATGATGCTGCATGCACTCATCCACCTTTGCACTACAATCAATGTTTTACAATTAGTATAATTTCAGAGCTTAGCAAAGAGTTTCCAGCAATCTGATTGGTCGAGCGGTTCCTTATATGAAGCTATATAAACCCCTCCGAGCGGTTAATATAAAAGGTTAAAATAAGATGTTAATAAATGTTGCTAAAATGTTATGATTTTAGAGATTTCTCTGTTGTTCGGCGCTGAAATTATACTAAAACAGTTATTCGCCTCAGGTTCAGTGAATATTTTCGAATAATCCCCTCGACTTCGTCTCATGGATTACTCAACGATATTCACCTCGCCTTTGGCAAATAATTGTAAATAGAGAGGGGGAAAAAATTCAAAATATGAAACTTTATTTAAGGGATTCTGGATAGCAGTTACAAATCTATGATCTTTTAAGTGTGCATGCGAAAATTCATTAAATGTGACCTCTCACGGGAAAATGTTCTGAACGTTAGCCGTTTTTAAATGGATAGCCATTCACCAGCCGTTCATCGGCCGTTCGACTGGATTGGCGTGCTGTTTGAATGCCTCAAGCTATCCGTTCTTGAATATTCATCATCCATTCAAACCGTTCGAGCTATCCGCTTAAGAAACCTCATCATCCATTCGAACGCCTCTAGCTATCCATTCTTGAATATTCATAATTTGTTCAAACGCCTCCAGCAATCCGTTCTTGAGTATTCATCATCCGTTCGAATGGTTCGAGCTATCCGTTCGAGAAAATTCATCAGCCATTCACTTGGCACTTTGGCAACGATGGTAAAAACATTTTCGGTGTGATCGCAATCCATATCTTCTCTCGTTTCTTTTCTCCATTTTGTGATTGTGTGAAATGGCGGTAATTGACACAAGTTGTTAGCAGTTACCAAGGCAACACATTTTTGATGGAGTGACAGGGAAGCTGGGATTATAGAAATTTAAACCCGAAGTGAAGTTAAGAACTATCGAATTGTATGCTTTTCGCGTGCATGTTCCTTGGTTGTACCTTATCTTAATCGGTCGAATTCAATAATAACAATATTAATTATAATCCATTTGAATGCACCGAAAGCGAAGTCAAACTATTCAAACGATTGAGTTTTGACTCGTTTCAAGTGATCTTTTCACAGATTGTGTCAAATGCCTCGCGTAACTTAACACCGCGTCACCCAACACGTGACACTTTCATGAAATAATCCTTTGCTTTGGCTCAAGATGAGAGCTTGGGACGCCTGTGTTGGCATTCGTTTTGACGAAACCATCTATTCAAATAATTTCTACAGGCAATCACTTGTTCGACCGCTTAGCCATTTATCCATT